GAATCGGCGGCAGGTCCTGGAACCAGTTCTCCTCGGATATGTGGGGACCACTGTACTTCAATTCTCCAAGAACTCCTTGGGCACTTAGCCAAAGCCTAGTAATTCTATAGAGTTCGCCAACTCTTAGAAGAACCAAAATAGCCATCAAGGTAGCAACAACTGAAATATGAGAGGAGACTGAAAAACTAGAAAGTAGACCCAATAATTGAAACAAGTTTACCTATTTGGGCATAGTTCAGTGCAGGGACAAACTCTTGACAAGTCAGCGGACTCCAAAACGTCACTGTATTTCTTGATGCATCAGTAAAAATTGTTGTGATCACTAACTCTATTTAAGTATGCAGGGACACGTGCGATCCATTGGAGATATAGCTTCTCGAAACACTAAAGTTAAAAATAAAATGTTAGTTTGTAGAGGGTAAGCTTCAGTTGAGCAGAGGTAATTAATTTTTTTTGAACAATTACTTTGTGACAGGTTATTTCACATATAATCATTCCCTCAGTCATACCAGCCACAAGAGATCATAACTCTTATTCCCATGTTATAGAGGAAGCTGAGACTTGAAGAAGATAATTGATTTGCCCAAAGTCACAAAACCAGTAAAAAAGGCAGTCCTGGTTTTCTGATCCAGTTCTGTTTTGCTCTAAAGGCTGGATTCTTTAGACTCTCATTACCTGTTTCTCTTCTGTGTTTTAGGCTCCAATCCTGACCACTCAGAAATTGTACAAAATTGTATTTATAAATATTGTTCTCTGTGTTTTTAGTTGTTGGAATTTTGTTAGCAGGCTTTATTTATTTATTTATTGAAGTAAAGTCAGTTTACAGTATGACAATTTCTGGTGTACAGCATGTTTCCGTCATACATAAACATGCATGTATTCATTTTCATACTCTATTTCATTATAGGTTACTATGAGATATTGAATATAGTTCCCTGTGCTGTACAGTAGAAACTTGTTGTTTATCTATTTTATATATAAGTAGTTAGTATCTGCAAGTTTTGAACTCCTATTTTATCCCGTCCCACCCCTTTATCCCCTGGTAACCATAAGTTTCTTTTCTATGTCTGTGAGTCTCATTCTGTTTCATAAATAAGTTTATTTGTGTCTTTTTTTAAGATTCCACATATAAGCGATATCATATGGTATTTTTCTTTCTCTTTCTAGCTTGCTTCACTTAGAATGATGATCTCCAGCTCCATCCATATTGCAAATGGCATTATTTTATTCTTTTTTGTGGCTGAGTAGTATTCCATCATATAAATATACCATAATTTCTTTATCCAATCATCTGTCGATGGACATTTAGGTTGTTTCCATGTCTTGGCTATGATAAATAGTGAGCAGGCTTTATTTCTGCATTCAGTTATCAGGGACTAACTTCTGCTTTGAATTTCTCATAACTGGTTTCTTTCAGAGGTTGGTGTATTATTTTGGATTCTTTTGTCTTTAGACATATCAGCATCTCCCTCATATAAATAGGTTAGTGTGCTGAGAGGAATTGTGTTGATTTATCTTGAATGACTAAATGATAGTATTCATGGGAGAAAATGCTACATTTTCAGCAATAATAGATAAATTTGGTAGGTGCTTAGTTATATTAATTTCTTAATTTTCTGAACACGTGCAAATATAAAAACAATGTTTAACTGTGATCTCAACTCAGAAAATATGTTAGGCAGGTAGGCGGCAACAGATGCTTCAAGCAAACACAGAATGATGGAGCTAAAATGTATAGAAGTGGAGACTTGATGGCAAAATCTAAATTCCTTATGGTTTTGTGTGGATGATGCTTAAAGAAACTGCTTAAATAAAAATCCAGAATGATATCCATCGTGGGTCAGTTTAGACCATTCTCTGGATCAGATTTCAAATGTTAAGCATGGCGTTTAATACCCTATGCAGGCAACAATTTCTGCTGTTTTCCTGAAGGTGGACTCCTAGTATAATAAAAAGATTTCTGTGTAATAAAAAGAACAATAGAATAGCCAAGTTTGAATCTTAACTTCTGCTGTTTACTAGCTGGATAAGCTAGCTGCAAATTGCCAGAAACTGAGGATTCTCATGAATAAAAATGAAGATGATGATGACATAATAATAAAAATGATAATAACACCTGCCCTTTCAACCTCTTAAGGTTGCTGGGAAGATCAAAGGGGACAATATAAGAGAATATATTCTGTAAATATACAACACCATTATGCAAATATGTGTTATTGTTAGCATAGTAATTTATTTTTATATGGGTTATGTCATTGTAGATGTTTTTAATTAGTTTTTTAAATATATATTTTTATTGAGGTATAGTCTTTTTACAATGTTGTGTCAATTTCTGGTGTACAAACATACAAAGAAGAGCTCATACCGATCCTTTTCAAACTCTTCCAAAAGACTGAAGAAGAGGGAAAATTCCCAAACTCAGAATTAGTTTTTATTGGTGATTATTTCTGGTTGAATCATTAGAATGTATCCTCTGGAAGGGTTATACCTTTGTAAATTTTGACGGTGACTTTCATTGAGTTTTGCTGTTTGAGCATCTTTGGCTGGTTCTGGATTGGCACGAGACTGGTGTTGAATTTTTTCCAGACAATAGTCTCCTGCTGCCCCCCTGAAACATGCCAGCATCTTTTCCAGGTCTTTTTGTCTGGCCTTTAATTTTGGACCAGTCATCAGAACCAGCACTGCAGCTTCTGGATGACTTCACATTCTGAGCATAGCTTCATAAAAACTTGGCTTGATAGCAAACCTCATTCACTGCAGGGAGAAACGAGGTGAAGAGTGGTGGGGGGAGGGAAAACAGGTGAGATGTGGGGGGAGGCCTGTAGCATCAACCCTGCCACCTCATTTTGGAATAGTAAGTACAATTCCTGTCCACAGAAATGACGGGCGAGTGGGTGTGTGAGTTGGCCTCTTGCTGGAGAGAGAAATGCTTTGATTCAGAGGAGGCAATGTGGCATGGTGCCCGAGAGCCCAGGCTTTGGAATCAGGCAGGCATGTTTTATTTAACCTCCCCAAACAACCAAGATACTTAAACTCTCTAAACTCCAGTTCCCTCATCTGTAAAATAGAGATTATAATAACTACCACATGAGTTATTGTCCCTGGTAAATGAGAAAACTTTTGTAAAGTTATCTCAAACATGTAATAATGATCATTATTTTACAATTGACAGAGGATGGAAACCAAGTTAAAAGGGAAGGAAAAGAGGATGATGGGTCTGTGGTGCAGCTCTTATATATCTTAGAATCCTGTCTCATCCTCCAGAAGCCAGTTTAACTAGCCTATGGTGTAACTGATCCCTCCTCTTGATATTGCATCATCCAATAGTTCTTTGAGCATTAATTGCACTATAGTATCAGTAGAACAGAATTATTAAGATTTAAGTTCTGTGAGGTTTCATTTTGAAGATCTAAGCATAGTTCCCGCATCTTTAAGGGAAACTTTTAGACTAGATTATAATCTGTGTTTTGTTGAGCAGAAGGAAATCTGTAGAGGGTTCATCTTCTGTTTTTCAACCTACGCCAATGTGAAGACTATTTTTTGAAGTCTGAAGAGCATAGCTTTGTGGAAAATTATGAGTGGTCTGTGTGTTTGCTTTATAAATACTACCCAAACTGGCCTACTTTTCTTTTCTGGCAGTTCACATTTAAATGTTGATTTTTTTTTTTTTTAACAGTGCTTTCCAGCCCCGTCTGCCCTCAAGACACCTCACTTAAGCTGTCATCTTGCTCATGATTAAAGGAACATCACTTCAATTCTGGTCAGTTTCAGGACTATGTGATATTAAATGAGCCTGTCTAGCCTAATTGATCCTCAAGCATATGCGAGTGTGTGTGTGTGTGTGTGTGTGTGTGTGTGTGTGTGTGTGTGTGTGTGTGTGTGTGTATTAAAGCAGAGGTTGTCATCTGGTGGTGGTAGCCTCCTGTAAAGTCTCCATGGGGACAGGGAGTGGTGGTAGGGACAATTTTTTGCTCCTCAACAGGCAACATGAGCTGAGAAACTCTGGCCTGGCCATTTAAAGTTCAGTGCAGTTTTCTGGTTGATGAAACTCTTCCAAGAAGGCCAGGGTGAGGCCTAGCCTTGGAGGGAAAGTTGTTATCAGTGTCTGACAGGCCTTCGGTTGGACTTGAAGCTGGAGGCATTATTGCTAACAATGTTTAGTTCTGCCCCAAAGTTACTGCCCCCGTTTGGTTGGATTCTCCATCCACTAATCGTTGGCTCCCTGGCTCAGTAACAGCTCCCAGGTCAACTGCTGATGCAAAGCTTTGGGCTTGAAGCCTGGAGATTCACACCAACTCACTTTTGTTTTTTTCCCCCTACCTATCCGATTCCAATACTGCTTTCCTGAAAGTCTTCTTCACCAGTGAGCTTACAGCAATTCCCGGAAAGGATCAAGACTTTCATGATTCTCAAAACCTATTAATTAGCTGAAAAAGTTTTCCAAGTGCCAGTGATACACTTGGGCGTCTGAGGACAAAGAAGTGAACGGGCCAGGTACCGCTTTTTAGAACTCAAAGAACTGATCAGAATACACACAATATAACAGTAGCACTTTTTCTTACAGGGGTGAAATACTTCTCAATCCGAAGGGAGGAGCCCATCAGAGATCAGAAGCTAGCAGTCCTAGTGTACGCTGTGACCCAGACCACGTCAGATCAGGGTGTCGGAAGCTAGGTCTTGCCCACAGGAATGCAAGCGAAGAGAGGAGGCTGGGCGCTGGGGCGCTGGCTAGCAGCGCCGGGGTCTCCCTGGGCTTCCAGCCACCGGCAGAGTAACCCTCTGCAGCAAGGACTGTAAGGGAGAAAGCTTGAAAGGAAAGCGCAGTAAATCTTAGTCCGCGCGGGGGGTGCAGAGACTGCAGCGAAACCAAAACAGGGTGGGGCCGGGGTGCTCCCGAGTGCAAGGCGCCCTCCTGGGTGGCCGGGGTGGAAGTCATTTGGTGTGGCGGGGAGAGAGGTCGGGGAGC